GTCGTGCCAAAGACAAAATGCCGTCGATTCACTAATAAGAAAGTACTATTATAGGGTCAAACCCTTTCAAAATTGGTTGAACTACTAGCACGTGGCACGGGGACCGCCTACACACTAGCACGTCAGAATGGCGTGCTTTGGCACGGCACGCCAGAAATCAAACTCGTTTTGATTTCCACCGTGCCATGCCAATATGCACGCCGTGCTTGCACGGTGTTCACCACACACTGGCACGTTTCGTCAGTTTTTGGCACGGCGTGCAATGCACGTTAGTGTGTGGGCCGCTTAACTTTGTTAGGCTACAGACTAAGATCAGCTGTTTCATTAGTCAGGACCACAAGGACAGCTAGGTCCAGTTTCAAACCATCAAAAAGCTACACTTTCCTCAGGATCGAATCGGCGACCTTTAGATTACTAGGCGAGCGCTATAACCAGTGAGCTACCCAGCCAAGTAACCGGGTTCGAAATCATGTTGCTGAAGGGTTTGCACTGAAAGGAATGGCATTAGTTTCACATGAATCTTTAAGACCACCTAATACTATATATTACCAACTCAATTGCTAGTAGGTAACAAGCTGTTCCTAAGCACAACTGAACTTACACAAGCTCTGCTTTTATGTTCCATCCTTGGTATTTAGTTGCTTTTTGTAATTATTCACAGAAAACTTCAAGATATGCTACATTTGAAAAGATTGTGTGCAGGCTTAGAACCTAAGGTAGCACCATATGTTCAACTGGAATCAACATAAATAAAGTTTAAATAAATAACCAGAAGGAGTTAAGAGAAACGCGCCTGGACCTCACAAGAAACATTAACTACGAAAAACAGCTGCAACAATGACTACTATGATTTGTGCTTTACTTTCTTGATACCTAATCATGAAACAAGCTATTGTTTACGATTAAATCATTTTATTTGGTTATCTAGATTTAAAATAACTAGGCCTAACTTAAAATAATAAGAATCGTCTTCAGCTTATCCATGAGGATGAAACTGTCAACATCTAGTAAGAGTAGTTACTAAGGGGGCTAGTTTAACCTTCGGTATTAGGTAAATAGTTACATACTATACAGAGTTCATGATTGTGGACCTGAAATTTGGAGCCGCTGTGACAACGACAACAGCAATTGCTATGATTTGTTGCAGGATTTTTCTGCAGGTTGGATAGTTCCACAAAAATAAGCTCAGTATTAACATAACATTGCTAAAATGTTAAAAAGACTGAACCAATTAAATTCCTGAAGAAACTTGCAGTGATAACATTACTTTGTGAAGTTTTTTAGATAGGTACCCTTAACTTTAACTAGCCTAGGAAACAGAAAAATTACTGGGCCTAGGAGTGCCAAAATACTAAATCCTGCCCTGGCCCCTGAGATAATAGGATTCTGGCACTGACCGCCGCTAGTATGCCAACATTTTTCAGGGTAAGGTACATGTCGATCATTCCCAAGGTTGATTTCTGAGTAAGTTAGTGTAAACGTATTTTTAAAGGCCCACGACATAACATTCCACCTTATGATGATAAAGGGGTAAAGTTATTATGACTAGGGAGACAAGTAGAACCATATGACGGTAACTTATGATTCTTTGCCCGTCCACAGTGCCTTAACTACCTCCTAGATACCACAGAGCCCAGAACTTAAATGTGGATGAGACTAAGTTTGAGATGGAGGTTGTAAGAGGTTCCCACATTGGAAAAAAATGCAGTAATTACACATGCATTGCATTACTTTGACTATTCTGGGTACTTTGGTATTATCCGGAGGCCACACTTATACAGCGCGCTGCGACGGTTAAGAATGTTAGGTTGGGTTATCATAAAAATGTATGTAGGACTCTTCTCGTTCCATTATGAATCAAACGATACCAGATGAGTCATACTTTCGCTCTCCAAATTTCCCTCCAAGTAGCCCAAGGTGAGGTTGTAGACCGGAGCGCGCATGTCACCTGTCACCTTTTCTCATATAAAAGTTGAGGTACAGAGATTATTTGTCCATTTAAATGCACAGTAACTTACTTTCCTGTTAAGGGAACATTCAATATTATTGATGATTTCTTTCGATATATGTATCGATATTTTAATTTTTTATTCGATATATTGATATTAAAAATTTATAACTTAGGCCTATCATCTGACAACTACGATAAATAAATATTGTTCAGTATCAACAAACAATAAAAAAATTATATTGAAATGAACTTAACCTAACTAGGCTAACTATAATTACTGTAACATTTCAAAATTCCGTTTTATAGCCTATTCCCCATATGCCTTTTCTGTTATCAAGTGGAATTTTGAGCCAGTAACTTAGCCCATAGCAAGTTTGGTTAGTTATGTTAGGTTATTTTAGAATAGTTTAATTTCTTAATACAATATATGGCTATTATTTTTGCCTAAAACAAGATTAAGACATAAGATATGATTAGTTCTTAATCCTATTCCATAATACGAGCTATAACTCAATAGCTTAAACATGTTTGCTATGTCTATTTGTCTGTCTGTAATATAACTTAAATGCATTTGAAGATATTAAAACACAGATGGAATATAGATCGTAAAGGAAAACTAAATTATTGATATATCGAAAAGAAATCATGGATAAGTTAATACCGTAATGAATGTTCCCCTTAACAGGAAAGTACCAAATGTACCCATGGTTACAATTCTATTCGGTTCCAGAAGATAGCCTATAGCAACTTGGAGGTGATAGTGTTTAAAGGCTACGGTTGCCAAGACAAAATTGAACTTGATAGGCTAATAAATATACTAAATGGAAAACACCTTGATGACTAGAAAACAATAAGTAAATTATTCAACAGTTGTTAAGAATAGAAACATCTAAATGTAAGGCCTCTGAAGCCTAACATGAGTAGCCTAACTTAGGTATATCTTCGGGGTTATTCATGATGACTATTATTACATAACTTTAACTTAATAAAAATCCATTTTTAGCCCTTGAGCTGTGATTAATTATAATAGGTATTTACCTTCGTCTACAGCTCAAACTGTTGTAACTTGAGTTCAGATCACGGCAATGTCAACCGGTACCGTGGTGCGACAGGCCTGTTATTTGTTGTATTTTCGTATTTTGTAAAATGTTGTCCGTGTTATGTGTTTTAACTTTCAGCTGAGTTCCATGTCTGACAGCCGTAACTCAAGTTAGGGCCTACAACAGTTTGAGCTGTAGACGATGGTGATACCTATTTTTAATAAACTTCAATAACCAACTAAGTTATTTGTCTATAGCCTATAAACCAATGTGTGTTTAAGTTTAGTTTGCGGTGTTAAAGTTGACAATAACAATAAGTTAACGGCGTTTAAACATACTGTACCTACTGATGATAGTTATTATTAAGTTATACTTATTTTTTTCACTCTTATAGCAATATAACTTAATAACAATGTTTCTTAAAAATATTTATTTTAGAATCGAGTAGTTTCTTTGCCAAATGCTTATAATATTTTGATCCACGATATCTCGTAGAACATTCACGTGTGTTTATTAATATTTTTTGTCATGATAAGTTAGGCCATGTAGAATATAGCCTATGCCTAGGCTATTTAACTTAGGCCTAGTATGTAAGGCAAAGCTCAAAGAATATCAAATAATCAGTACTATATTGACTTCTATTAACGAATACAAAGAAATTGTTTATAACCTACATAAAGATATTATTGCTAACTCAAATGGTATTTCAGTAAAGTAGATTTACCTGGAAAGCACAGAGGGGAACTTGGCCATAGGCCACCACCAGGCACCAGTTATGTGGGCGCGGTCTTCATTACTAACTAAAATCCTGTTATATAAAAGTCTGTATTATTATTTATTGGTAAACTGTTTACCATAAATAAATAGTTTAAGTTTGAATATATATTTTAATATCACGAACGAAAATACGCGACACAAAAACAATTATGTTGACAACTCAACGACGAAATAGTCGACAGCCATGAAGGACAGTATTTTTTTAACCGCAGCTTGGTTTTGGCTTTAACAAAACAAATCAGCTGATTAAGTGAGTAGAAAAAGGTACTATAAAAACAACATTATTAAAGGCATTTCATCGTGAATACCAGAATGTTGAGGGGTACTAAAACTACAGTACTGTATGTTTTATATGGTTTTATCTATGGTACTGTCTTATGCAATAATTAATTAAGAATTATGGTAATTATTTAGATGAGGGTGACCAAGCGTTCTATAGTAAGTTATATATCATTAGAAACTAGATTTTTACCTGAAAATAATGGTGCAAAAATTTTTCTGCTGCCACAAAAACTGAATTTACTACGATTTTTTGAAGTTTATTTTAATGTTTTATATTAGGAACATTGAATCTGCAGTACAATGTTTACACTGTATAATCGAAGTTAATAGCACAATTCACATTTTTATTGATTGATTATATGCCATTTTAATGTAAATATTACCCTCACAACCCACACTTAGAAAGGTAATTATGTTAATTTAAGTAGGCTATAACTTATGTATTATTTGATTAAAATTAATTAACATTAATAAACACCTCTAGTTCGGACATATTTAATCTGGATCTGGGGACTGGATTATTTTTTTTTTTTTTTTTTTTTTTTCTGAGCCCTTAAGGCTTAAGGCTTGGATAATTACTCCACGTAGCCTATTAGATTTCTGATGATGACTATTACTCACTGAATCCTTCTGTGGTTGTCTTTGGGCATTTGACACTTTCTGTAACAAAGGTTATGTTATGTTAGTTACACATTTACATTTATGTGATAGTTTCTGTTTCTATTTTGTTTTTGTTAGTTTCTGTTCACATTTGTTTTAAAGAGGGATGCATCTAATGATTAGGAAATGAGAGGATTTAAGGTCGAGGGTGAGATATCTTCTCGGCCAGGGGTCCATCAGGCCTTTACCTATCCCGAAAAGGAGGGGGGACCTCGGATAGAAGAACCTTAGGCCAAAGGAGAGTGTTGTGTGAATGTTAACTGATTGTGTGAAATGAGCCTTTATTGTATTCATATTCGTCTTTTTATAACCTTCAGAAAGGAATTTATTTCTTTGTATAGTTGTACATCTTCACTTGCCAATATTTTCCTCACTTTTTCAAAGGTATTGTCATTTGGAAATTTGTTGATTCTCCTGAAACATTGTGCTCTTGCGTAATCATAATGTGGGCATTCAAGCAAAAGATGTTCTATAGTTTCTGTGACACCATTGGTGCATAGTATACACAAAGGTGTAAAATATTGTTTAATTTTATGCAAATGTTTATTAACATTTGCTATACCAATCCTCAGTCTAATGATATTAATCATTTCAGATCTAGTCATTTTTTGGCCAAAGTACCAAGGTCTAAGCATACTATTGTTTTGTATTGTTCTGTACCAGGCTGCCTTGGTTGAAACTTGTAGCCGGATGTTTCTTTGTTTTAAGAGTCTTTTTTTCTGATATGCTTTTAAGTCCGAAATCGGTAAAGATATGTCTTTGACTTCTGTTCCCTCGGTAACAGCTTGTTTGGCAAGTTGATCAACAGTCTCATTATGTTTTAAACCAATATGACTAGGAATCCATTGGAAGGAGATTTCTTTCTCAGATAGTAGGCAATTTCTTATGATTTCTAGACACATGTTATCTTTAATTAAGCCATTTTTAATATTCTTGAGAGCTTTTATTGCAGATTGTGAGTCACTGCAGATCAGAACATTATCTTGTGGGATTTCTTTCAGGATTTTGGTGCATTCGAAAAGGGCAAACTGTTCTGCTGTGTATATAGAAGCATTTAGAGGTAATTTAAATTTTCTCTCTAAATTCATGTGAGGAATCCAGATTGCTGCTCCTGTTCCGTCTGTAGTTTTTGAGCCATCTGAGAATATTTTCAGAGAGTCTTTCCATATCTGGTTCAATGTATTGTGAACCACCTGGTGGTACACCGAAGGGTTTGTTTCACTCTTTTTTGATTTAAGATTGTCCAGTGTGTCATTGAAAGTTATCTTAATGTCTGTTATTGAGGGATAGGTATCCCAGTCCAATGCCCTACCATAGTCAGAGTTGGCTTCCAAATAACTTTGGTTGAACTGACAAATTGAAGTAATCGCCCTGATATACAGAGGTTTCTTTTTGTGTCTCCAATAAGGTTTTGTATTTGTGAGTAGCTGCAGGTAGAGGCATTTGTATCTGTTTTCACTTGAGTCTTCTGTCATTGTTTTGTAGATTAGCCGTTCAGTCAAAATTTCTCTACGGTCAGCTATGGTTTCCATTGCCGTTTCATTGTGAAGGGCAATGATTGGGGTGAACTTGCCAGAGGCTGTTGCTATTCTTAATGCTTCATTCTGAATAGTTTCAAGTTTAAACAGTAAATTATTTGGGAGGTGCCCTAAAAGGAAAGAGCAGTAGTCAATCTTAGATCGTATTAGACTTCTGTAAACATTGAGACAAAATTCAGGATTTGCTCCATTCCTTCCGCATGATATCATTTTTAGAATGTTCATGTCCTTGTGGCATTGTACTAATAATTTAGATATGTGAGTGTTGAATTTTAATTTGCTGTCTATTGTTATTCCTAAAATTTTTAAATGATCTACTATAGGTAGGGGTTGGTTTTCTAGTTTGAGTTTGATTTTGGAGCTATCTATATTTCTCTTCCTACTGATTATCATGGATTTGCATTTCTCGGGGCTTAGTTGGAAGTGCATCTTGTTTAGGGTTTGCTCTATATTTGTTAAGGCATTTTGGGATTGTTCAGCTGTTTCTTCTATATTTTTTCCAGATGAGTACACAGTGATGTCATCAGCGTATTGTAAGGAAAAGACACCATTTGGGAGGGCTTCATTTATTTCTGCTAAATACACAGCAAATAAGAGTGGGCTCAAAGTACTGCCTTGAGGTAGGCCTCTACTGGTTGATCTGCAAATTATTTGATTTTTTATGGCCATGTTTAAAGTTCTGTCTACAAGCCATTTCCAAGAAGGAATTCATTTAGTTCTTCTCTTCACTTAACCGAATGGCTTAGCTTAGGTTTTGACCATGTAACCGTTATGTCCCATAAGTATTTAGTGTAGTGGCAGTTTTGATAAAATGAATAAACAACAAATTGACACTATTCTAACCTAACCTAACCCAACCAAACTTCTCGTACAGTTTGAAATTTGTTTATAAGTTGAAAAAGACATGTGAGGTTAGTAGGTTGGATGTTATGTGGACTCGTGACTGTATTAAGTCCTTTGAAGGTAGGTTAGATTAGGGAAGTTAAAGTTTAGGTTATAATAATGAATCGAGTTGTTGATTTATATTATCTCCAGACTGTTTATGCACTTTGTTGAAAGTACTACTAACAGAATAAATAATAATTTCAAAAATGCTGCGCATTTTTGAAATTATTATTTATTCTGTTAGTAGTACTTTCAACAAAGTGCATAAACAGTCTGGAGATAATATAAATCAACAACTCGATTCATTATTATAACCTAAACTTTACCTTCCTAATCTAACCTAACTTCAAAACACTTAATACAGTCACGAGTCCGCATAACACCCAACCTACCCACCTCACATGTCTAAATAAGAACTGAAGTAGTTCATAATCAACGCTCAGTTGAATTTATAAATGCCTCTACCTCCTTGTCCTCTTTTGATTCACAGTAAAGTTATGGCGACAGAGACCAGCCAACAAGATGCATTACAGTAATAAACTTTAAAAAATCGTAGTAAATTCAGTTTTTGTGGCAGCAGAAAAATTTTTGCACCATTATTTTCAGGTAAAAATCTAGTTTCCAATGATATATAACTTACTATAGAACGCTTGGTCACCCTCATCTAAACAATTTCCAGAATTATGAATTTTGTATAGTAATAAACATTAAGACTCACATGAAAGAAATCTTGGATTCCTTCATCAATCATCGATGACCGACAAAGTCGGATGGATTGCGTCGAAAATAACATTAACACACTAATATATTATATATATATATTATATACATACAAAGAAACAAGAAAACCTAGTTACTGTGGCGGAATATTACGTTATGGGGGGGTGGAGGGTCTCTCATGTAGTGTAACTAAGGGGTTCTTCGCTCAGCTCCTCCAGCGAGTATAGTGGTCTTTTTAACAGGCTCCGAATGGCCGTTTTAAAAGATGGCTGTGGTCACCCACTGAGCTAATATCTTAATGTGGTCACCTGCTTATACCAGTACCTGATGGTGAAAACTGTTACCTGCAGTACCTGCTGGTACCAGTTTTTAAAAAGGGATCTCATGATAACTTGTCTAGTTATAGACCTATAGCTATAATTCCCATTCTGGCAAAGGTGTTTGAGGCTGTTATGCTGGAACAACTGTATGAGTACTTTGAAGTGCATCACCTGCTTGTGCCTGGGCAGTACGGCTTTAGGAAGGGCAGATCCACTGTTTCGGCAGTGGACTCCCTTCTTCAGGTAGTGCTTGATTGCTTTGAAACCAAACAAAACACTTCTGTCTTGCTCTGTGATCTTTCACGAGCTTTTGACTGTGTCTCTCACCAAATTCTTCTTATGAAACTTGAAAGATATGGCCTGCAGAGTGGTGCACTCGACGTACTCAGATCGTACCTTAGCAATAGACAGCAGATAGTATGTTGGAATGGTAGAAATTCCACCCCTTTGGCAGTAAATCATGGTGTCCCTCAGGGCTCCATATTGGGCCCTTTCTTGTTTTTGGTGGCCATTAATGACCTCTACTATGAAGTGTCAGGTAACGTTATTATTTATGCAGATGACACTACCTTGTTTGCCAAAGATCCTGACTTGAAGCTCTCAAAAACCAAAGTTGAGGGTTTTCTTTCTACTGCTACTGCCTGGTTCAATGTTAACAAACTGATCCTCAATGAATCCAAGACTCAGGCAATCACCTTTAGCTTGGGAAAGTCTGCTGAGTGCACTGACCATGTAAAGCTGCTGGGCTTTACTCTGGACCCTCACCTTGACTGGGGAGATCATATTGAGTCGCTGTGCTGTAGGCTTAACAGGGTTATATTTTTATTGAGAAGACTGAGTTTTTACCTGCCAATAGATTTTATTCGTGTTGCTTACTTTGCTTTTTTTCACTCTATTATTGTCTACGGAACGAGACTCTGGGGTCACTCGCCTAAAGTCAACAAAATTCTGGTTCTGCAAAAGAAAGCGATGAGGGTACTTAGTGGAGCCCAGGATCTCGCGCACTCCAAACCACTGTTTCTCCAAAACAAAGTCATGACTGTATATAATGTATATATTTTTCAATGTCTCCTAGAAATTAAGTCCAATGAAATATACCTACCTAGAAATCAGCATGTACATAGCCATAACACTAGAAATAGGTTTGATATTTTCACTGTAAGGCACAGACTGAGTAAATCAATTAATTGTTTTCCTGTTACAGGTTGCAAGTATTTTAACCATCTGCCTCTTGAAGTGAGGCGTTTGCCTTTACAAAAATTCAAAGCCTTTCTAAATAATTGGCTCCTAGAAACACCTTTATTTGACTCTAGTGAGTTTCTTAAGACAGAGGTCCACCTGTAATTAGGTAATGCATGGTGTGTGCTTTTTTTTAACTGCTTTTTGATTTTATTTTCTCCAAATGTGCATGGTTTTAATCAGATTTATTTAACTTTTTATTTTGTATGCTATTTGACTTAAACTAAGCATGGTTTGATTTGATTGTTAACCAATCTCTGATGATGGTTTATTTTTATTTACTGAATTATGTATTGACATAGCCTATTATGTAATGTTTAATGGCCAAATAAACAATTTGAATTTGAATTTGCTCTTTCTCCGGTAGGGTGTTAAAGAGCCTTTATGGCATTGTGAGGATAGCTCTTCAGGGTGCGTGAGAGACGACATCGTGGTATTATTAGTTGTAGGGCTTGCCAAGTGCCATATTGGTGGTAAATCTCTCTTGTCAAACAGATGAACATCAGCTTTCAGTAGTGTAAGGATATTCAACACATACCGTTTAAGACTGTGAGAATGCCCATGTCCTTAAAAAGGGCTTGCGATGTTCTGTATGATCGGCTGACATTATTATTCTACAGCGTCTAATGTAGAAGCAAGGTGTCCTGCACTGCTGACGAGTGGCCCAAAAATACCAAGCCGTACATAAGATGGCTGTGGAATACAGCATGGTAGACAGTTACCAAAATACTGCCTCGGTATGACGTGCCGAAGTTTCCGTAGGAGGCAGATTACCCTGGATAACCGTGCACATACTCTATCGATGTGTGAGTTCCAGCTTAGCTTGGAATCCAACCAGAACCCTAGGAGTTTTACCGCCTCACTCCTTTCTTTGATTGGCTTCAGAGTGGAGAGCATGAGGACAGGGGTTTTTCTGCATTTATTCGCAAGCAGTTGGCTGTAAACCAGTTTTTGGCTAGCTCTAAAAGATCGTCAGCTTCGATGTGCAGTTGCTCTAAGTCACTTCCTCTGGTTATCAAGGGGGTGTCATCGGCGAAAAGGAGAGTGGAAATCTATATTTGGCCACAGATCACTTAAAGTTAATGAATTTGCCTATAGAGAGAGAGAGAGAGAGAGATAGAGAGAGAGAGAGAGAGAGAGAGAGGTGTTTGGCCGAAGCCCAGCGGTCCCACCACCACCCCTGGTTTAAGTCAGAGACTTATTCACCAGGCCGCTTTCCTGAAATATCTTCGGATTCCTCTTCCTGCTGTCAGCTTCAATCCATGTCCTTCCAGGCACATTCTGTGCCTAACCAACACCTCTCCCCTCACCTAGTACCCTCTGTACTAGGGTCATCGGATTTTTTTTTCTTTCTTTCCAATCTTAGAGAGAGAGAGAGAGAGAGAGAGAGAGAGAGAAATTCTTTATTTACAACAAATTATTTTGCAGCATTACAAGAATCAAATAAAATATCACATGGGTCACAATGACCTGTGAGTGATAGGGAATTGGTTATTGCCATAGGTGGCACGGTAAGACCTAGGCCCGGGACCAATTCTTTTTTTTCATTTTGATGTCACCAGCGGCCAAAAACACCATTCGTTCAAATTTGTTATATGTATAATATGATTTTTTTAGTTATAATACGTATGTCCGTGAACGCAATAACTTGACTAATTTCTGTCCGATTTTGATGGAATTTGGTTTAAAGGTGTAAGGCGGGAAAAAACTTGAATGAGATCGCGAAACAGCATGATCGGACCATAGGAAGGAGGTTTTATGGGGTAAAAATTGGGTTTTCTTATTGTTATCTTTTTTATTTAAAGGCTGAATGTTAATCCATAGGGAGTTGAGAGAGTGGGATAATCATGGGCTGTTTAAGTGCTCATAATCACCTAGTGATCAAGCTCGCATCTTCGATCTTGAGAAAAATGAATAGCTTCATTATAGCTTAGCTTGAAACTGGACATATATTTAGCTTTCCTTGATTATGTTGGGTTTTTACTAAAATAGTGATCTATATAACTTTACAAATAATTAGCTGGCTTGGTATTCAAGTTATTAGTGTTTGCCTAACAAAAGGTCGCTGGTTCGATCATTAGAATGTCATTAGTAGCTTTTTGATGGTTCGAAGCTGGACTCAGATGTTCCTGATCATTGGGTTTTGAATAAAAATGATCCTGGCTAATGAAACAGCTGATCTTAGCCAGTAGAAAAGCTACACAAAACATCCTCATACCATTCTACACTCATCCTTAACCCATATTTAGGCAAAATAAGCACCTAGCTGCCAGCTGGCGTCCCCATCTCAACGATTTATTTTATAATTATTGATATGGCTAAGAAACAGTTTGTCTTCTATGTATGGGGACCGAAGTATAAATAAAATGGGAAACAGCCTGTTAACATAAGTTATTTTTAATTTATTTGTTTCCATGGTTACAACATTATACAAAAAGGTACCTATATCAAAGGCAAATAGACTAAGAACGCTTGACTGAAAAAGAAGGTGAAATAGATACATAAATGAAGCTAAATTTTACAAAACTCATTCTAAGTTAATATTTTAAGGCTGTGTACTATGAACACATTATATATAGTATGGCGAATAGAGTTTGGAAACAAACCTGATCAAGATGGCTTTCCGATTATTGACAATGTTCATTGAGCTGAGCTCCAGCAGTCAAAACCAAAACACAATATCTAAGGCAGTGGTAAAAATGGCGAAATTGGTGATCAATGTGAATGTTTAAACTGTGTCAATTGTGTAATTTAAACGGACAATTAACTAAGGAAAGAATACAATGACCGAGCGACCAGGACAAACTGTAAGTAACAATTGAATTGATGTGAATATTTACTCCTTAAGACATGACATGTCTCATTCATAATAGTTTTAACTCAGCTTCCTCTTACTAGGTCAAAAGTTGGTCAAGGACCTTTTCAGTCATGAAACCAGGACTAGGTTACATGCTTGTCATTGATTATTTTGTTGCCATTATATAACTGGAATGGAGAGTACAGTTTCTTAACTGGGCTATGCTAATATCGATTGAAACTATCGAACTGGAAATATTGACTAATAATCGATTTTAAAATATATCTATTATAAAATTTAACTATCATAACCTAACCTAACCAACCTAACTTGCTGATGGTGAAAAAATCGCATGAAAGTTTACTAATCGAATGGATAGTTTCAATCGATATTAGCATAGCCCAGTTAAGAAACTGTACCCGGAATGGGAACATAAAATATCCTCTAGACAAGTACTACCGTGATTGAGTTGGACTATTTTATAAATCGCTTAATACGCCCAGGCTAGGTAACTTATAAAATATAAATAACATAGCCTAACCCTCCAAGTGTCTAAAGTAGTAAAGGTCTTAACATGTTCACTGCTAACGCCGACTATAGTCGGTATCTCTAGCACTTCAATGTGGCGCGCGCCGACAAAAGTCGGCACCAGACCAACAGAAATACATTGAGACAGTGTGAGCTTAGCCTCAGACGGAGACGTTATAATCGTTGCCAGCCTGCCAGCTTAGAATGCGAGCTTTACTTTGGTGTAGGTTGGTACTAAAATTTCCCGTAAAATCCTGTCTGGCAATGCTTTTGTCCCGGTTTCAGGGATTTTTCTCTTCAACCCACATTTCAAAGACCCTGGATACGGATCCGTGCAGTCCTGCTACCTATGGGTGTTTCAGTGAACTACATCCACTCTCGGGGTAACGCAGCACAGTCACCACTGCTCTTTTGTGATTCGTCAGACTGAAATATTTGAATGCTAATTACGTTCGCTGATTCGGTTGCGTGCTGGGGCTTCGCCCGCCACTGGGGAGCGCCTGTACGTTGTTTTCAGCCAGTCATCGTGTTAATGTTGGCCTATTTATTGCACATTCACAGGGTTTTATTAAAATGTACCTAGGCTATCTGATAAACTTAAAAATACTTAACTTAAGTTAAGCACCTACATAAGTTTAGGCCTAAGTTAACTTAACTTGTTGTTTTTTATAACTTAACTTTGCTTGGAAAATCATATTAGGCCTAGGCTTCAATATCACAAGATAACTTGGCTGCACTTTTCTTTAGGTCCTACACTCATTCGAATGAAAATATTGCTTATTTGATTGTTTCATTCAATATATCGTTTGGTTAGTTAGGTAAGGCTAACCTAACTAACCAAATGATATATTGAATGAAACAATCGATTTATTGATATATATTGATCGATATTTTCATTCGAATGAGTGTAGGACCTAAAGTAAAGTGCAGCCGATAACTTAACTTAAACTTAGCGCCTAACTTAGCACATAAAACATTAACTTACGGTAGGTAGGCCTACAGTACAAAAAGATTTTGTGAGGTTAACATTTTTCAAAGATTATTAAATAGGCTAGGTAAGTTAACTGAAAAACGTTTAACTTAGGTTTGCGCTCAATCAAATTGTATTTTAACTTAAGTTAGTTAGACTTTGCACAGAATGGGGAAGGCCCAGACTGTCTGTAGGCCTATTGTCCCAGCATTGCAGACACAGCCGAGCACACCTTCGGCAGGTAGTAAGTTAACTTATGTCCTCAAAGCCTCCTTGATCTCTTAGATTGGCGCTGACATCGTTCGGGATATGCTCTAGGAGGAGGGGACCTGGAATTATGCCATGCAGTTCACTGAGGCCATAACTTACCTCCTTAAAGCTAAGAAAGTTGATATTGTTTGGCCCTACCCTTCAGAAGAATTAAGAAAAAATGCCCTAGTAGAATAGTTAAAAAGGCCTAGCCCGAAGTAATGTGCTAAACAGTTCCAGGCTAGTGTTGTAGGAGATGGTTTTTAGCCGGTAGTCCGTCATTCAGCCTATGTGAGTCTGGCACTACTGAGAGGCCATTGAAAATCTCAGTGTGGGTAAATGCATTTTTAATCGACACATAACACACTTTGTGTAGTTTCTTCATAATATTGCCAAACGGCTTAATCATTTTCAAAATAAACTTATCACACACTTTTATAGAAATTTCTATATTTCGGCATTAGCCTTCTTCAGGAACAAACACAATAACAAATAGAAGTGTTTACCACTCTGAATCATATGGTTTTAGCATAAATCCAAAATACATATAATTTATGAAGAAGTAAAAAAGAAAATGTTTTGATAGAAAGAAAGAAAAAATGTTTATATATATATATGTATATATATACTATCTCAAATTTAGACCGGAAGGTGTTTTAGATTTAAGTATTAATTGATGAGCTTGCTCAAGCTGTCTTAATTTCAAGTCTGGTGCGTCTTTTGCCAATTTTCTTATTCCTTTTAATGAATAACATTGTTCAAAATTTTGAGAATGCTCTCTCGCATGAATAGCCACAGGTTTTAGTTTATCAGGATGGTTTACATCATATCTGTGGCCATTCATACGAACTCTTAGAGCATTGGTGGTTTTGCCAATGTAGTCTTTAGGACAATTTTTGCATGAAATTTGGTAAATTACATTAGTAGACTCACAGGTGATGTTACTATTTATGTTATAACATCTTTTTGTTTGCCTGCTTGTAAAAGTTTTTGATGGGATGATTAATTTGCAGGTGGCACATCGTGGTTTGTTGCATTGATTACAGCCCGAAGGTTTTGCTGAGGGTTGGGAAGTGGGAGGTAGTTTGGGTTTTGAAAGAATGTCTTTTAAGTTAGGAGCTTTTTTGTATATTAGTCTTGGGGGTTTGGAAAACAAATTATGGGTCAGAGGTGAATTTGAAAGAATATTATGTGCCACTCTTAAAACATTATTAACTTTGTAAAGGCCAGGAAAGTATTGGGTGATGAATTTTGGATCTTTTTTGAAATTATCTGTGTTAGGATTTTTTGAGCTTTTTATTTGACTGTCTATTAAATTTTTAGGATAACCTCTTCTGTTAAGTGAATTGCTGAGTTTTTCAATATAATTTTGGTAATCACGATTTTCAGAACAAAGGTATTTTGCTCGTATTGATAGGCTTTTTGGTATGGATTTTTTAATGTGTGCAGGATGACAGCTTGAGTAAGCTAAGTAATCCATTGTATTCGTATCCTTTACATGGATTTTGGATTTTAACATACCATCTCTAACAAAAACGTCAACATCCAAAAAAGTAACAATATCTTCTGAGAAATTCCAGGTAAATTTAAGGATTGAGAATTGATTTAGATTTTCAAGGAAAGTTTGCAGGTTTTAGATTTAATTTTAATTTAATTTAATTTAATTTAAGAACATGGACTAGAAAACCTGCAAACTTTCCTTGAAAATCTAAATCAATTCTCAATCCTTAAATTTACCTGGAATTTCTCAGAAGATATTGTTACTTTTTTGGATGTTGACGTTTTTGTTAGAGATGGTATGTTAAAATCCAAAATCCATGTAAAGGATACGAATACAATGGATTACTTAGCTTACTCAAGCTGTCATCCTGCACACATTAAAAAATCCATACCAAAAAGCCTATCAATACGAGCAAAATACCTTTGTTCTGAAAATCGTGATTACCAAAATTATATTGAAAAACTCAGCAATTCACTTAACAGAAGAGGTTATCCTAAAAATTTAATAGACAGTCAAATAAAAAGCTCAAAAAATCCTAACACAGATAATTTCAAAAAAGATCCAAAATTCATCACCCAATACTTTCCTGGCCTTTACAAAGTTAATAATGTTTTAAGAGTGGCACATAATATTCTTTCAAATTCACCTCTGACCCATAATTTGTTTTCCAAACCCCCAAGACTAATATACAAAAAAGCTCCTAACTTAAAAGACATTCTTTCAAAACCCAAACTACCTCCCACTTCCCAACCCTCAGCAAAACCTTCGGGCTGTAATCAATGCAACAAACCACGATGTGCCACCTGCAAATTAATCATCCCATCAAAAACTTTTACAAGCAGGCAAACAAAAAGATGTTATAACATAAATAGTAACATCACCTGTGAGTCTACTAATGTAATTTACCAAATTTCATGCAAAAATTGTCCTAAAGACTACATTGGCAAAACCACCAATGCTCTAAGAGTTCGTATGAATGGCCACAGATATGATGTAAACCATCCTGATAAACTAAAACCTGTGGCTATTCATGCGAGAGAGCATTCTCAAAATTTTGAACAATGTTATTCATTAAAAGGAATAAGAAAATTGGCAAAAGACGCACCAGACTTGAAATTAAGACAGCTTGAGCAAGCTCATCAATTAATACTTAAATCTAAAACACCTTCCGGTCTAAATTTGAGATAGTATATATATACATATATATATATAAACATTTTTTCTTTCTTTCTATCAAAACATTTTCTTTTTTACTTCTTCATAAATTATATGTATTTTGGATTTATGCTAAAACCATATGATTCAGAGTGGTAAACACTTCTATTTGTTATTGTGTTTGTTCCTGAAGAAGGCTAATGCCGAAATATAGAAATTTCTATAAAAGTGTGTGATAAGTTTATTTTGAAAACACTTTGTGTAGTGTTTTGTGTAGATTTTTCGACTCACAAACACTGTTTACGGCAAAGGCTCTATGACTGACAAAATGGGATTGAACTGGATCGAGTTAGGTATCGTTTTATTTGGCAGATTCTAAGCTTTCTCCCGAGGTCTGTCTCTAAGCGCTTTTTTTCTCGAGCCGATCATAATTGTAGCAGACAGCTGACGTGCGTATTTGTAAACAGCTTGGTTAACCTCGCACCGATGACTGATGTGTTTTATTACGTTTATCATTGTTTTAGTGTTAAAAATCAAAAGTAGTGATACACGTCGTGCATTATAAGAAGATTTAAGTGATTTTGAAGGGCTGGTATTCTCAATTGAC